GCTGGATACTGTAGATTTTAGTTCTACAGCGTCGGATGGCTAGCCTTTTCGCCCATACAGGCGCCCCATATAAGGCTACGGACCGCACTACCCCAGCATAGAGACGGCGGACTTTCTCCCTCGGTCCCCCTAGATTGGGCAGCAGTCTGTGCATAGCACCCGCCACCCTCTCGATCCGAGGAACTAGGCGCTCAAAGTGCTCTTCGAAGCCCCAGCGACTGTCCAGGTAGAGCCCTAGGTACTTCATGTATCGCCCCACTCTGATTTCAGACCCACCCACGCGGACGCACGAGTCGTGTGGTTCCCTGCTCCGAGGTAATTTGTGAAACCATATGGCCTTGGTCTTATGAGGCGCTATTTCTAGACCCAACTCGCGGATTTTAGCAACGACGACTTCCGTCCCAAGCTCGGCGAGCTCCTTGGTCCCCTCGAATGTGACCCCGCTGGCGACCACCAGTGTGTCATCGGCATAGCACACGATATTTACGCCAGCAGGAAGGTCGACACGCAGAACCGCATCATACGCGAGGTTCCACAATAGCGGACCCAGCACCGAGCCCTGCGGAACCCCACGTTTGATCTTCCTCCGGATCTTCCTACCATCTTGCCCCATGTACAGAATGTACCTGTCGCGCAAGTAGTCCCCGATTATGCCTTGCAGGTAGGCAGGCACCTGGTGATGTACTAGTGCCCTCCTGATTGCATCCCAGGGTAGAGTTAAAGGCGTTGACGACATCGAGACTTATCGCAAACGCACATAATGGCATCTACGATGGAACGCTCCCGTCGGAATCCAAGTTGGCTGTCAGCCAAATCGGGACCGACGCGCGACATATGTCTGTTGAGCCGAGTGGCAACTATCCTTTCGAACAATTTGCCAATCTCGTCCAACAGGCATATGGGACGGTACGCAGAGGGAGAATTCGCGGCCCTGCCTTCCTTCTTCAAGAGGACCAAACTTGCCTCTTTCCAAACTCTTTCCAAACTGACTGGGGAAATGCCTACGCATACCCGCCTCGCGGGGGCAAGGACGGGTTAAGTCGGACTCGCACCGACTAAAACCCCATGGTGTTCCACCTTCGTCGCTTATTGGCAGGGCTACGGGAACGCTTTCGCACACTTCCGCGGCCCTACCAGCGACTGCCGCCCCATGGCAGCACCTCCTCGGGAGAGGAATATTCCTCTCCGTTCTCCTTCCCAAGTAAGGCGCACCAGAACACATGGCGCGCCTTCCTCCACGGCCTCCAATTACATCTGCGCAACAGACGCCCCCGCGTCCGATGCGCGAAGGCCATGGGGCCAGGAAAAACGAGCACTTAGAAGTACTAGCCTTCCCGACCCCAGCGGCGGATCTGGTCTATGGCTCCGCCGCCAACCAAGATTCGGCTGCGGAGGATAGGGAGAGCGGCGCCTCGCAATACCGACAATCCTCTCCCCCCGCAGCCCCATCACCACCGCATCAACGGTGCGGCCCCGTTTGAGTCGCGGAGGATAGGGCGAGTGGCGCATCGCCATACCAACACTCCTCTTCCTCCGCGATTCCACCTCGGCTGCAGCGGTAGAGGGTGCGGAGTCCCCACTCGCTGCAGTCCACCAGCACACATCCGAAGTGGGCTCCCCAAGCCCACTCGGAGTGGCCACCTCAGGCCGGCCCTTCACCTCGGGCCAGCCACGTGGGTTCCTCTTTGTTCACCGTGGGAGACCAAGCCATGGCTACTAAGCCCCCTCGCCACGACAAGGCGGGAACCCGTTCGGGGGGGAACCTAACCTAACCTTTTTTTTTTTTTTTACGGGGGGGAAATCCTCATGGCCTGCCTCTGCCTGGGGACAGGCGGAGGGGTGTGCCGGACTCTTACCGGCTAAAACCACCCCGGTGTCTCCTCGCACGTGCACGCGAGGGGCCGCGGGAATCCAAATTCTTCCGCAGCCCCACACTAGTGCTGGCCCGGTCTGTACGGGCCTCGTCTCCTGCACGGGGTAGTGAGGTGTTCAACTACCCCCTGTATCACCCCAGAGGCACGCGCCGACACCCACGCGTGCCTCCGCCTCGGGTCCATCGAAAGGGGGCGGGGGCTTCCCCTAGTCCCTCGCCCCTGGACTTATTCATGGGGGCTGGAAAAGGGCGTTGTCCGCCCTTCTCCTGCGCCCGGTGCGCCTTCTGCGGCCAGGGAAGGGAGTCGAGATCTCCCTCTCCCGTTCCGCAGTTTCCTTCTGCGACATCACGTCCTCACAGAAGGACACCACTGCATCCCACGATTCTGCGCTACCGACCATACTCCGCACCAAGGCCGACAGCGACAAATCGCCTCCTACTACATTTGTGAGGACACGGCGCTGCTCCTCCCAAGGCTACACACTCGGCGAGCGTGTGTTGCGCCGTGTCCTCCCCGCAATGGACGCAGTGGTGGCACCGAGCGTCCGGCTCCCTGTCTATGCGGCACAGGTACTTGCCAAAGCAGCCGTGCCCCGACAGCACCTGCGTCACCCTAAACGACAGGGAGCCGTGCCTTCTCCCGAGCCAGTCGTCGAGTACTGGCCGGATCGCCTCGACGATAGCGAGGCCGGCGGTAGGGCGCAGAAGCCTTTGCCGCCATTCCGCCACCAAGACCTGACGGAGCTCCTCTCGGCGCAGCGCGATCTGTCGCTGCACCGGCCTCGAGCCCCGTCCCCGCTCTTTCCTCGCGCCATCGATATAGTGACGCGAGTACTTTCGCCTCTAGGTCCCAGGGCGGGGATCCGGCCAGGACGCAAGCCGCCTCGTAGGAAATCGTGCGATACCCGCGGGTGACTCTGACGGCCATCGCCCTCTGCGGTTTGCGCAGAATGGCGAGAGTGCTGGCCGTCATGTCCATCGCCCATACAGGGTCCCCATACAGGGCCATGGACCGCACGATTCCCACGTACAACCGCCTACAGGCAGCGCTCGGGCCCCCCAAGTTGGGAAGCAGCGTTGAAAGTGCGCCAGCTGCACGCATCAGCTTGGGCGCCAGCCGCCGGAAGTGGGGCCCAAATTCCCATCGGCTGTCGAGCACCAATCCCAGGTACTTCATGGTGGACTCGACAGCTATCCGGGCCCCGCCGACCACGATATGCGATCCCGGTGGCGGCGCGCGTCGAAGGCCACGAAACGCCATGGCCTCCGACTTGTTAAGGGCCACCTCCAGGCCCAGGCACCGGATGCGGTTCACCACTTGTGAAACCGCAGCCGTGGCAACCAACGCTGCTTCCCTGTGCGAGCTCCCCGGGCAGTGACGAGCGTGTCGTCCGCATAACAGGTCGTCAGCGCCCGACGGGAGCTCACCTCTCAGCACGCAGTCGTAGCCGATGTTCCACAGGAGCGGTCCCAAGACCGATCCCTGCGGAACACCGCACGACATGACGCGTCGACCAGCGCTGTCACGTCCCCAATACGTGACGCATCTCTCCTCAAGGTAGGCCCCTATTGTGTGGCGGAGGTAGGGAGGCACGCGATGGTAATTAAGCGCCTCCCGAATACAACTCCAGGGTAGGGTGTTGAAGGCGTTGGAGATGTCTAATGACACCGCCGGCACCACCCCACCCCGGGATACTGTCTCCTCCGCCAGGGCCCTCACGCGCGTAATAGCGTCTATGGTGGAGCGCCCGCGACGAAAACCAAACTGGTTCTCGTCCAGGTCTGGCCCCACTCTGCACAAGTGGCTAACGAGGCGATCTGCGATGATACGCTCAAGAAGTTTGCCCGCCTCGTCGAGCAGCACCAGCCGGTACGCGGACGGTGAGTCCGCGGGGCGCCCCTCCTTCCTGAGTAGGACCAGCCTTCCCTCCTTCCACACACTGGGAAGCTGACCCTGCTTGAGACATGCCGTGAAGAGCCCCCTCAGCTGGGGCTCCAGCTCCTTCAGAGCCAGGACGAGAGCTCGACCAGGAACTCCGTCGGGTCCGGGCGCTGTGTTCTTGGCCCAAAGTCGCGCCATGGCCGCTCTCATCTCTGCTTGCGTCACCTTGTGGACATCGGTGCTCTCCTCCTCTGGAGAGTCTGTGGCTGAGGGCGAAGCCATCGCCGGGGGGAACGTGTCCCACTCGTTCAGGGAAGAGAACTGATACCACCGTCTCTAGCAACTGGGGTTGCATTGTTTGCGTTAGTGGAGGCGCCCAGGAACGCAACTTGCCCCGTACCCAACGGTAGGGGCGCCCCCACGGATCCCGATCTAGGGACCCCAGCAGCTCGTCCCTGGCACGCGACTTCGAGTCGCCGATGGCCAGCCACAGAGTCTCCTTAGACGCGCGGTACACCTCATACAGCGCGTCCTCCTCGGTGGAATCCCGTCTACGCCGTCTCCGGTATCGGGTGTACCGGCGTCGGGCCGCAATGCACGCTATGCGCAATTGCGCGATCTCGGCGGTCCACCAGTACACCTGGTGCCTTGCGGACCGTTGGCGGACACGGGGCATGGACGCGTCACAGATCTGCGTCATCGCCCCGCGAAACCATAGCGCCACTGCTTCGACGTCGACGGTACCGTCCGTTGCCGACTCCCAGATCCAGGACTGGACTAAGGCAGCTTCCTCGAGTAGTTCCCTGTCGATGCGCTTAAGCGCCCAACGCGGGCCGTCGTTAATCGGGGTAGTTGGATGGCGGCCTCTCGCAGTCTGGGCAGAGACGTCGAACCGGATATACCGATGGTCCGACAACGTCTCCACCCCTACGGCGACACGCCAGTCGCGGACTCGGCTGGCGACAGAGGGGCCTAACCTAACCTAACCTAACCTAACCTAACCTAACTGCCTCTAGCTCTATTTATGACCGGATTGTGGACTGGAAAGTTGATCCTTTAATCTGTCCATCTTCTGAACACAGGGCAGTAATATTTTCAGTCGCAACTCGTGGTGAAAGAAGAAAAACCAACAAAACAACCAGTACGTTTGGATACAATACGAATAACATAAAATGGGAGGAAATAAGACCTTTCTTTGAAACTAAAATTATGTAATATGTACCCCAAAATGTTACAGTTGAACAGATGCAGGCAAATGAACTGGAAGATTACATAATTTCAGTTACATCGGCAATTCAAAGAACATGTGATGAGCTGCTCCCAAGGTCAACTGGTCGAAAATACCGCTGCCCTTGGTGGACAGACGAACTTGAAAGTCTCAAAAAACAAGTAATACGCAACAATCATAACATACAAAAACTTCGCCGACAAAATAAACCACTTAAGGACGCCCTTTTGGAAAAAGAACTCTTAAAAACTGCTTATTCAAAAACCTTTAGAGAAACTTCCACGCGAAATTTCAGAGACTTTTGTGAAAGGCAAAGGAAGGAGGATGTGTGGTCCGTTACAAATAGAATAATCAAATCAAACCCACCTCCGCTACCACCAGCCACACTAAAGAAATGCGATGGTACATACACCAACTCTAGCCTCGAAACCGCCCAAGCTCTTCTTAATAAGTTTTTTCCCGATGATGACATAAATGATACACCACTTCAAGAAGAAGCTCGGAAAATTGCAATTACCGTACCTAATACTCAAGATGAATGAAATTCGCAGTAGCTTAAATAGTATTAATCCGAAAAAAAGCACCCGGCACTGACCATCTTACTTCTGACATTTGCTTATTATTTGCCGAAAGCTTTCCAAATCTTATTACTTCAGTCATTAACCGATGTTTTAAACTGGGATATTTTCCAAATATCTGGAAGATAGCTTTTATCAAAATCCTCCCTGAGACCCACAAGAACGATTATTTAAATATTTCTTCTTTCCGCCCCATAGGTCTAATTAATGTATTTGGAAAACTGTTTGAAAAACTAGTTATACGTAGGTTAACATATTTCATGCACCAAAAAGATCTTTTTAACTCAGCACAGTACGGTTTTAAAGAACAACATTACCATCAATGATTCAACATATTATTCAACCAGGCTGCCAATAAAGAGCAAGTGCTTGCAGTTTCTTTAGACATACAAGCTGCATTTGACTGTGCTTGGTGGCCGGCAATATACCGCAGACTACATAAAATTGGATGCCCCCGTAACATCTACTCTATTTTGTGTAGTTATTTCCAAAATCGATCTGCAATTATACATTTCGGAGACAGCACAGCTATAAAAACTCTGACGAGAGGTTGCGTCCAGGGTTCGGTTTGTGGCCCTTTCCTATGGAATTTAATTGTGGACGAACTTCTCGATATGGATATGCCACCTGGAGTTACAATACAAGCATTTGCGGATGACATATTCCTTCTTGTGCGCGCCAAAAATAGTAATAATTTACAGCTTAACGCAAATAATGCTTTGAGTATAATCACTAAATGGGGTCAGGAAATGAAACTTACTTTTGGAGTTGCCAAAACACAGGCCATCCCATTTACTTGCAAGGCAGCGAGGTGCAAGCTCTATATGTCTGGTCATCTCCTGAATTTTTCTAACGAGATTAAGCTTTTAGGCGTTTTAATAGACAAAAAGCTCAAATTCATAAAACATGTAGATTTCATCGTCAACAAAGTCCGTAAATTGTACACTAGGTTAATAACGTTCGTCAAACCAACTTGGGGCATTCACTCCGAGAATATAGAAATTATCTATAAACATGTGATTGAGCCAATAGTCTGTTATGCTTCTTCTATCTGGCAATCAGCAATCGGGTACAAATGTGTGAAAGAGAAACTACTCTCTTTGCAACGCAATTTTGCCCTTAGAATTATCCGTGGCTTTAGAACCGTGAGTACAGTCGCTTGCATATCAATCGCTCAACTATGCCCACTCCCAATAAAAATAAAGGAAATAGCAGATAATGAGCGCACAAGAATCACACAAGTTTCACAGTACCTACCTTCTGATGTTACTCTAGACGTCCCTGCTAAACCAGGAAATTTCTTACATCCCTCTTTGCGAAAACCTATTAAATTTACTGAAGAACAAATACCGACAGAAAATATTATAAATTCGTATCGTATTTACACCGATGGTAGCAAGCACAGCAATAAAGTGGGCGCTGCATTTGTGATACACAAACCGAACGGAGAAAAACTAATACGCAAATACAAATTACATGACTCGTGTTCAGTCTTTCAAGCCGAACTCCTGGCCATTTCTAAAGCCTGCGAATGGATTATAGAACACAAAATCAATCCAACATATATTTTCTCCGACAGCAAATCAGGTCTCCAAGAAATTGCAAACGAAAACAGTTACAACTCCCTCGTAGTATCGATTCATAGGATAATACAACGAATTGAATCACTCAATTTAAAAATCAGTCTTTGCTGGATTAAAGGTCACATCGAAATTTCAGGCAATGAAGAAGCGGATGCAGCTGCTAAAAGCGCGGCAACCTCCCACCGATCTTATGAATTTCTCAAATTCCCAATAAGCCATGTAAAATATTTAAATCGACAACAAGCCATTAAAGGAACAGAAAACTTTTACTTTGAAAGTGACAAATGCATATATACCAAATCTCTATGTCCTACTTATGAGCAACTCACCCTAACTGTTAAAGCACTGGCACCTAATTTTGCTATAACTCAGTATCTTAGCAATCATGGATATCACAAGGAATATCTTCATCGTTTTAAAATAACCAATGATAATAAATGCCCATGCGATAAACTAGTGTACAATCCATGACACATCTTATAAGAAACTGCCCTGCATTTCTTAGAACAAGAATGGAACATGAAATTGCGTGCACTATGTTAAAGATAGAACCATATAATTCATCAGAAATAATTTCCAAAGAAACTACTATACAAACTTTTAAAACCCACGTCAATTACATTATAAGTCAACTAAAAAACTTCATTAACAATACAGCAGTAGTAAATTAAAACAATTGAACATTATATGCCTCATAAGTAAATTCAAGAAAAAAATTGGAATAAACGTATAATAATAAGATACCCTATGTAAATAGTAATTTTAATTTTATTAATTCTATTAAGGTAGTCTATAAATATTAAATATTTATTAATTATAAATATTTATATATAATTATGTATGAATATGTATATTTATGTTTAGTATTAAACAAATTAATGTTCCAATTGTCTTGCATAAAATATAAATCAAATTCTTATCGTAAAATATTTTAGGTAACATTATTAAAATATATTATGAAAACCATTGTTGAAAGTTATCAAAAGTAAATATTAACAGAAATCAAAGCAAAATGTGGAGCAAATGGAACCCATCATTTCAACAAAAATTTCGCAACCATAAGGAATTGTATACCGATAGCAATTCCTCATGGAAAAGAAGGAGGAAAAAAAAACCTAACCTAACCTAACCTAATAAGACACATTAAAACTGCTAACAAGTTCAGAGTGTGTTTGATTTGGTAAATCCAACATGCATATTTGGTAACTGAATGGAGTTAATAAAATATTACTAAAAAGCAAATTATGAATCCAAAAATCTCCATATCATTTATTAAAATATGTAATGGATTGATCCTTTGCAAAAATTATACCGGATTCCAATAAAAATAAAATACTGTTATTTTTTATCATTGTCACATTTTTGTGAAACGACCCTTGTCCCACATCATTCGGGAACCTATTGTGACGAATATTTATAATAATCTACAAATAATTATTTTCAAATAACAAGAAAAACACTCGCTCTACAACACATCCAAAAAAAAATTGCACGAATTACCTTTTGTTTTTTCGACATTATAACCTAGAAATTATCGTATCTCTGCGAAAACACACTCTCAACCGACTCACAAAATGAAATTGCTGTCACTGAGATATTTACGTTTGGTTACACAGTTTTTTTAGTTTCGATCCATAGCAATATATTTAGGGTGGCTATTTTTATCAATTGTGGGATCTGTATTACCGGATACTAAAAAAAAAACAGTACAGTAGGGCTACGATGGCTATCCGAGTACAGAACCAGAGTTCGAAACCTATCCAACTGCAGAGAGGTGTAAGACAGGGTGATGTTATATCCCCGAAACTCTTCACCGCTGCGTTGGAAGACGTTTTCAAGCTACTGGACTGGAAAGGATACGGTATTAACATCAATGGCGAGTACATCACTCACCTTCGATTTGCCGACGATATAGTCATTATGGCAGAATCGCTGGAGGACTTAAGCATTATGCTCAATGACCTCAATAGTGCCTCCCAACGGATAGGTCTTAAGATGAACATGGACAAAACAAAGATCATGTTTAATGTCCATGTCACACCTATGCCGGTAGTTGTTGGGAGCACTATGCTCGAAGTTGTTGACGAGTACGTTTACCTGGGACAAATAGTCCGACTAGGTAAGTCCAACTTCGACCGAGAGGTCAATCGACGGATTCAACTCGGCTGGGCAGCGTTCGGGAAATTACGACATATCTTTTCGTCAGGTATACCTCAATCTCTAAAAACTAGATTGTACAACCAGTGCGTGTTGCCAGTGATGACTTACGGATCTGAGACGTGGTCCTTCACTGCTGGCCGTATGAGGACGCTTAAGGTCGCTCAGCGAGCTATGGAGAGGGCTATGATTGGAGTTTCTCTGCGTCATAGACTCAGAAATGAGGATATCCGCAGTAAAACCAGAGTGATCGACATAGCCCAACGGATTAGTAAGCTGAAGTGGCAATGGGCCGGCCATATAGCTCGAAGAACCGATAACCGATGGGGAAGAAAGGTTCTCGAGTGGCAGCCTCGTACCGGTAGGCGTAGTGTAGGGCGACCCCCACTAGATGGAGTGACGACCTGGTAAGACATGCAGGAAGTCGATGGATGCAGGTGGCTCAGGACCGTGCTTTGTGGCATTACTTGGGGGAGGCCTATGTTCAGCAGTGGACTTGTGAAGGGCTGTAATGATGATGATGAAAAAAAAAACGACGAAAAAAGATATGGGACCAAATCGGTATGATTTCTATATATACTGGGTGGCGATTAGGTTATCGGATTTAATACCACAGCAGTTAATGCAATTTTATATACGTCTGTTGAAATAATAAAATAAACCATAATACCAAAAGACAAAAAGTGCATCTTTCAAACAAAATAAATAGCGTAAAAAATTACACGAAATAAATCATCCTGAGAGCCGTGGTAGCTCAGTGGTTAACGCTCGCTGTAAATATAACAGAACGCGGCACCAATGAAATTGTTAATTGCAATTTAAGTGCTGATTTACCACGTGCTCGGCGGTGAAGGAAAACAGGAAACCTGCATGTCTGAGTAATAAGAAAAAAAAATATTTCGAAGACATGTGAAGTTCGTCAACATGCATTTGGTCAGCGCGGTGGACACTTCCTTGCCCTAAACCCTCTCAGAAATGAGGGGAGGCCTGAGCCCAGCAGTGGCACGTATATAGGCGTACTTTAACTATAACTTTACTTTACTTACTTTAAATCGTCCTTTTTTTTGCGGATGGAAAATCATCTAATGACGCCTTTCGCTCTGGGTGGAGCGTAAGGGAGTGTCAGACTTTTACTGACTAAAAACCATCCGTGTTCCTTCAGTGCCCTTACGTTCCGGAGCCGCGGTATCTCTTTCGAACAGCGCGCAGCCCCGGCAGGCGTCG